GTGTATATTTGAATCCACATATCTTAAAGATAATTGTGTGTACAACTAGTGTATATTTGAATCCACATATCTTAAAGATAATTGTGTGTACAACTAGTGTATATTTGAATCCACAGATCTTAAAGATTATTGTGTGTACAACTAGTGTATATTTGAATCCACATCTTAAAGATTATTGTGTGTACAACTAGTGTATATTTGAATCCACAGATCTTAAAGATTATTGTGTGTACAACTAGTGTATATTTGAATCCACATATCTTAAAGATTATTGTGTGTACAACTAGTGTATATTTGAATCCACAGATCTTAAAGATTATTGTGTGTACAACTAGTGTATATTTGAATCCACAGATCTTAAAGATTATTGTGTGTACAACTAGTGTATATTTGAATCCACAAATCTTAAAGATTATTGTGTGTACAACTAGTGTATATTTGAATCCACAGATCTTAAAGATTATTGTGTGTACAACTAGTGTATATTTGAATCCACATATCTTAAAGATAATTGTGTGTACAACTAGTGTATATTTGAATCCACAGATCTTAAAGATTATTGTGTGTACAACTAGTGTATATTTGAATCCACAGATCTTAAAGATTATTGTGTGTACAACTAGTGTATATTTGAATCCACAGATCTTAAAGATTATTGTGTGTACAACTAGTGTATATTTGAATCCACAGATCTTAAAGATTATTGTGTGTACAACTAGTGTATATTTGAATCCACAAATCTTAAAGATTATTGTGTGTACAACTAGTGTATATTTGAATCCACAGATCTTAAAGATTATTGTGTGTACAACTAGTGTATATTTGAATCCACAAATCTTAAAGATTATTGTGTATACAACTAGTGTATATTTGAATCCACAAATCTTAAAGATTATTGTGTGTACAACTAGTGTATATTTGAATCCACAGATCTTAAAGATTATTGTGTGTACAACTAGTGTATATTTGAATCCACATATCTTAAAGATTATTGTGTGTACAACTAGTGTATATTTGAATCCACAGATCTTAAAGATAATTGTGTGTACAACTAGTGTATATTTGAATCCACAGATCTTAAAGATAATTGTGTGTACAACTAGTGTATATTTGAATCCACAGATCTTAAAGATTATTGTGTGTACAACTAGTGTATATTTGAATCCACAGATCTTAAAGATTATTGTGTGTACAACTAGTGTATATTTGAATCCACAGATCTTAAAGATTATTGTGTGTACAACTAGTGTATATTTGAATCCACAAATCTTAAAGATTATTGTGTGTACAACTAGTGTATATTTGAATCCACATATCTTAAAGATTATTGTGTGTACAACTAGTGTATATTTGAATCCACATATCTTAAAGATTATTGTGTGTACAACTAGTGTATATTTGAATCCACAGATCTTAAAGATTATTGTGTGTACAACTAGTGTATATTTGAATCCACAGATCTTAAAGATTATTGTGTGTACAACTAGTGTATATTTGAATCCACAGATCTTAAAGATTATTGTGTGTACAACTAGTGTATATTTGAATCCACAGATCTTAAAGATAATTGTGTGTACAACTAGTGTATATTTGAATCCACAGATCTTAAAGATTATTGTGTGTACAACTAGTGTATATTTGAATCCACAGATCTTAAAGATTATTGTGTGTACAACTAGTGTATATTTGAATCCACAAATCTTAAAGATTATTGTGTGTACAACTATTGTATATTTGAATCCACAGATCTTAAAGATTATTGTGTGTACAACTAGTGTATATTTGAATCCACAGATCTTAAAGATTATTGTGTGTACAACTAGTGTATATTTGAATCCACATATCTTAAAGATAATTGTGTGTACAACTAGTGTATATTTGAAACCACAGATCTTAAAGATTATTGTGTGTACAACTAGTGTATATTTGAATCCACAAATCTTAAAGATTATTGTGTGTACAACTAGTGTATATTTGAATCCACATATCTTAAAGATAATTGTGTGTACAACTAGTGTATATTTGAATCCACATATCTTAAAGATAATTGTGTGTACAACTAGTGTATATTTGAATCCACAGATCTTAAAGATTATTGTGTGTACAACTAGTGTATATTTGAATCCACATCTTAAAGATTATTGTGTGTACAACTAGTGTATATTTGAATCCACAGATCTTAAAGATTATTGTGTGTACAACTAGTGTATATTTGAATCCACATATCTTAAAGATTATTGTGTGTACAACTAGTGTATATTTGAATCCACAGATCTTAAAGATTATTGTGTGTACAACTAGTGTATATTTGAATCCACAGATCTTAAAGATTATTGTGTGTACAACTAGTGTATATTTGAATCCACAAATCTTAAAGATTATTGTGTGTACAACTAGTGTATATTTGAATCCACAGATCTTAAAGATTATTGTGTGTACAACTAGTGTATATTTGAATCCACATATCTTAAAGATAATTGTGTGTACAACTAGTGTATATTTGAATCCACAGATCTTAAAGATTATTGTGTGTACAACTAGTGTATATTTGAATCCACAGATCTTAAAGATTATTGTGTGTACAACTAGTGTATATTTGAATCCACAGATCTTAAAGATAATTGAGTGTACAACTAGTGTATATTTGAATCCACAGATCTTAAAGATTATTGTGTGTACAACTAGTGTATATTTGAATCCACAGATCTTAAAGATTATTGTGTGTACAACTAGTGTATATTTGAATCCACAAATCTTAAAGATTATTGTGTGTACAACTAGTGTATATTTGAATCCACAGATCTTAAAGATTATTGTGTGTACAACTAGTGTATATTTGAATCCACAAATCTTAAAGATTATTGTGTGTACAACTAGTGTATATTTGAATCCACAAATCTTAAAGATTATTGTGTGTACAACTAGTGTATATTTGAATCCACATATCTTAAAGATAATTGTGTGTACAACTAGTGTATATTTGAATCCACATATCTTAAAGATAATTGTGTGTACAACTAGTGTATATTTGAATCCACAGATCTTAAAGATTATTGTGTGTACAACTAGTGTATATTTGAATCCACAGATCTTAAAGATTATTGTGTGTACAACTAGTGTATATTTGAATCCACATATCTTAAAGATTATTGTGTGTACAACTAGTGTATATTTGAATCCACAGATCTTAAAGATAATTGTGTGTACAACTAGTGTATATTTGAATCCACATATCTTAAAGATAATTGTGTGTACAACTAGTGTATATTTGAATCCACAGATCTTAAAGATTATTGTGTGTACAACTAGTGTATATTTGAATCCACAGATCTTAAAGATTATTGTGTGTACAACTAGTGTATATTTGAATCCACATATCTTAAAGATTATTGTGTGTACAACTAGTGTATATTTGAATCCACAGATCTTAAAGATTATTGTGTGTACAACTAGTGTATATTTGAATCCACATATCTTAAAGATAATTGTGTGTACAACTAGTGTATATTTGAATCCACAGATCTTAAAGATTATTGTGTGTACAACTAGTGTATATTTGAATCCACAGATCTTAAAGATTATTGTGTGTACAACTAGTGTATATTTGAATCCACAGATCTTAAAGATTATTGTGTGTACAACTAGTGTATATTTGAATCCACAAATCTTAAAGATTATTGTGTGTACAACTAGTGTATATTTGAATCCACAGATCTTAAAGATAATTGTGTGTACAACTAGTGTATATTTGAATCCACACATCTTAAATATCATTGTGTGTACAACTAGTGTATATTTGAATCCACAGATCTTAAAGATTATTGTGTGTACAACTAGTGTATATTTGAATCCACATATCTTAAAGATTATTGTGTGTACAACTAGTGTATATTTGAATCCACAGATCTTAAAGATTATTGTGTGTACAACTAGTGTATATTTGAATCCACAGATCTTAAAGATTATTGTGTGTACAACTAGTGTATATTTGAATCCACAGATCTTAAAGATTATTGTGTGTACAACTAGTGTATATTTGAATCCACAGATCTTAAAGATTATTGTGTGTACAACTAGTGTATATTTGAATCTACAGATCTTAAAGATTATTGTGTGTACAACTAGTGTATATTTGAATCCACAAATCTTAAAGATTATTGTGTGTACAACTAGTGTATATTTGAATCCACAGATCTTAAAGATTATTGTGTGTACAACTAGTGTATATTTGAATCCACAAATCTTAAAGATTATTGTGTGTACAACTAGTGTATATTTGAATCCACAGATCTTAAAGATTATTGTGTGTACAACTAGTGTATATTTGAATCCACAGATCTTAAAGATTATTGTGTGTACAACTAGTGTATATTTGAATCCACACATCTTAAATATCATTGTGTGTACAACTAGTGTATATTTGAATCCACAGATCTTAAAGATTATTGTGTGTACAACTATTGTATATTTGAATCCACAGATCTTAAAGATTATTGTGTGTACAACTAGTGTATATTTGAATCCACAGATCTTAAAGATTATTGTGTGTACAACTAGTGTATATTTGAATCCACAGATCTTAAAGATTATTGTGTGTACAACTAGTGTATATTTGAATCCACAGATCTTAAAGATTATTGTGTGTACAACTAGTGTATATTTGAATCCACAGATCTTAAAGATTATTGTGTGTACAACTAGTGTATATTTGAATCCACAGATCTTAAAGATTATTGTGTGTACAACTAGTGTATATTTGAATCCACATCTTAAAGATTATTGTGTGTACAACTAGTGTATATTTGAATCCACATCTTAAAGATTATTGTGTGTACAACTAGTGTATATTTGAATCCACATCTTAAAGATTATTGTGTGTACAACTAGTGTATATTTGAATCCACAGATCTTAAAGATTATTGTGTGTACAACTAGTGTATATTTGAATCCACATCTTAAAGATTATTGTGTGTACAACTAGTGTATATTTGAATCCACAGATCTTGAAGGCAGAGGCTCACCCAATGACAGCACATGATGTGGCAGAAAGACTTCTAGAGCAGTACAGGTAAGATTGTCAACATTTCCTCTATACAGATATGTCATCTTGTATACAGGTATGTCATCTTGTATACAGGTATGTCATCTTGTATACAGGTATGTCAACTTGTATACAGGTATGTCAACTTGTATACAGGTATGTCATCTTGTATACAGGTATGTCATCTTGTATACAGGTATGTCATCTTGTATACAGGTATGTCAACTTGTATACAGGTATGTCAACTTGTATACAGGTATGTCATCTTGTATACAGGTATGTCATCTTGTATACAGGTATGTCATCTTGTATACAGGTATGTCATCTTGTATACAGGTATGTCATCTTGTATACAGGTATGTCATCTTGTATACAGGTATGTCATCTTGTATACAGGTATGTCATCTTGTATACAGGTATGTCATCTTGTATACAGGTATATCAACTTGTATACAGGTATGTCATCTTGTATACAGGTATATCATCTTGTATACAGGTATGTAGACCCTATCTTGTATACAAATGGACAATTGCCCAAATGGACACTTGCCCAAATGGATACTTGCCCAAATGGATACTTGCACAAATGGGACAAATGCCTGAAAGCCACTTGCCCAAAGGCTGTATGCCCAAAAAATGTTAACATTATATATTACCAAAGAGACGTTTTTAATCAATTTAAATTAGAAATTAAAAAAAAATAACCATCCTAACAAAAATAAAATGAAACTAATTAATATATTATATTAACATGCAGACATGCTTAACCATTAATGACCCATTCATTCCACCAAAACACCACCCTTTACGGCCCAATATAAGGAGCATAACTCTGTATGATCAAGTGAACAGTTCCACAAAATATTTGTTTTTGTCTAAATGAAATTGAAAATTAAGATAAAAACTACTGCTTAATGTTGGGAATAAACCTGGCTTTCCAACAGTATTGAATAGAATCTATATATATAATTCTCTTCTGGGAGCCTTTAGAAAACAAGCTGCAAGCGCGCCTTTGCAGTCCCCTCTCTTCCTCTCTATCACTATCACTACCACCCCCTCCCCACCCACACATGATCTGGTGAGCTGTGGTTCACGCTAAATGTTTTTGTTTACAATCATAGCGTCGGGTTTGGTGACGGCTATTAGGGGCAGATAATTTAGTTTGAAACGATTTAAACTTAGGGGAGGTAACTAAGAGGAGGCTGCTTTCACGTGGGGGGGGGTGGTGGAGAGTGGGTTTAGTGTTTTAAAGCAAATATTTTCAGTGGCAGCATTGTTACTGTCGAATTCACAAATTATGAATTACTGAAAAGTAGAAAAAACAACTAAATATATATTGTATATTATATTCTGTACAAGTACAGTATAAAAATAAAAAATGTCGGAGAAAATTCAAAACAAGTTATTTTCGGTAGTCAACTTTATTTATTTTTGTCTAAACAACTATGCATCGAATTTAACAGTTAAATTTTTAATATTAAATCTACTAAAAATAGGACAGATGAATCTAAAATTTTCAGGAAAGTGGCATTTGGGGCATTTGTCCCATTCAAGCAAGTGTCTTGTTGGCTCCGAGGTATGTCAACCCTATCTTTTGTCTCTTTCAGTGATTATGCAAGGAAAAAGAAGAATATGTTTTTAAAGAGTGTAGAGAAAGGTAGGTAAAAGTGCATGTGTGTTTGAAATGACTGTATGAAATGGGGCATTGTAATATTGACTGTTGATGTTTTGTATTGAAGACGAATAGGGACTGTTAAACAGATTTGATAAGAATGTATTTACTGTTCTACCTAAAGATATTTCCTTTTTCTTAGTTTGACTGAAGGTTGAAAACTTTTGACTGAAGGTTGAAAACTTTTGACTGAAGGTTGAAAACTTTTGACTGAAGGTTGAAAACTTTTGACTGAAGGTTGAAAACATTTGACTGAAGGTTGAAAACTTTTGACTGAAGGTTGAAAACATTTGACTGAAGGTTGAAAACTTTTGACTGAAGGTTGAAAACTTTTGACTGAAGGTTGAAAACTTTTGACTGAAGGTTAGGGTCAGTTGTATGCCCAGGTGGGTTAGGGTCAGTTGTATGCCCAGATGGGTTAGAGTTAGGGTCAGTTGTATGCCCAGTTGAGAAAGGGTCATTTGTTATTTTTGTTTATTGAGCCCGGCAGGGGCGTAGCGAGGGGGGGGGGCGGGGTGACACCAAGGCAAAAAATAGCAAAATATATAGAGAAAAACTTGAGGGGGGGTGCAAATCGAAAACTTGAGGGGGGTGCAAATCGAAAGTTTGAGGGAGTGGGTGCACAAATCGAAAACTTGAATGTTTGTCCCCGGGAAGGGTCGCTACGCCTCTGGGGGGTGACACCATTAAGTGCCGCACCGGGTGTTTTTGTTTATTGAGCCAGGCATGTTTGTGTCAACTCTTGTTTTTCTAATCTCCAGGATTTGTCAAAGCTTGTCAAGAATTAGTCCAAGAAGGAATGAGCACAGCAGACTCCAACAGGTAACTGGTGACATGCAGCTCTCAGAGCTTAAGCTAGGGGTAGCTGTTTTCTGCTCAAAGTTTATTGCCTGTTGTTTTCTGCTGAAAGTTTATTGCCTGTTGTTTTCTGCTGAAAGTTTATTGCCTGCTGTTTTCTGCTGAAAGTTTATTGCCTGTTGTTTTCTGCTGAAAGTTTATTGCCTGTTGTTTTCTGCTGAAAGTTTATTGCCTGCTGTTTTCTGCTGAAAGTTTATTGCCTGTTGTTTTCTGCTCAAAGTTTATTGCCTGTTGTTTTCTGCTCAAGGTTTATTGCCTGTTGTTTTCTGCTGAAAGTTTATTGCCTGTTGTTTTCTGCTCAAAGTTTATTGCCTGTTGTTTTCTGCTGAAAGTTTATTGCCTGTTGATTTCTGCTCAAAGTTTATTGCCTGTTGTTTTCTGCTGAAAGTTTATTGCCTGTTGTTTTCTGCTCAAAGTTTTTGCCTGTTGTTTTCTGCTGAAAGTTTATTGCCTGTTGTTTTCTGCTCAAAGTTTATTGCCTGTTGTTTTCTGCTGAAAGTTTATTGCCTGTTGTTTTCTGGCATGAGTTTATTTTGTCTAACGCTATTGTATGCTATTGTATGCAATTGTATGCAATTGATGATTTGATTTTTTTATTCCATTTTATTTATCAAATCATTTTGTTTCCTGAAATTACAATGAGTTGTTTTACTATGAATAATTCTGTATTGTGCTTATGCTGAAAAAACCCTGGTACCAGCTGAAGTAAAAATAGCAGGAGGTGGCAGGCTAACAAAATCTGGCAGACAGGAGCCCAACCTGTGGCCCAACCTGTGGCCCAACCTGTGGCCCAACCTGTGGCCCATCCTGTGGCCCATCCTGTGGCCCAACCTGTGGCCCAACCTGTGGCCCATCCTGTGGCCCATCCTGTGGCCCAACCTGTGGCCCAACCTGTGGCCCAACCTGTGGCCCATCCTGTGGCCCAACCTGTGGCCCAACCTGTGGCCCAACCTGTGGCCCAACCTGTGGCCCAACCTGTGGCCCATCCTGTGGCCCATCCTGTGGCCCATCCTGTGGCCCAACCTGTGGCCCAACCTGTGGCCCAACCTGTGGCCCAACCTGTGGCCCAACCTGTGGCCCAACCTGTGGCCCAACCTGTGGCCCAACCTGTGGCCCATCCTGTGGCCCATCCTGTGGCCCATCCTGTGGCCCATCCTGTGGCCCATCCTGTGGCCCAACCTGTGGCCCATCCTGTGGCCCATCCTGTGGCCCATCCTGTGGCCCATCCTGTGGCCCATCCTGTGGCCCATCCTGTGGCCCAACCTGTGGCCCATCCTGTGGCCCAACCTGTGGCCCAACCTGTGGCCCAACCTGTGGCCCATCCTGTGGCCCATCCTGTGGCCCAACCTGTGGCCCAACCTTTTATCATCATAATCCCCTAGAAAGGCAACTTACAACTCTGCCAAAACTACCATCAGTCTAATAAGGTCCTGCTAAAGTTAATTCTCAACAGACTAAAGCCACAAGTTGAAAAGATTTTAGCTGAAGAACAGGCAGGCTTTAGACACAACTGAGCAATCTTTGATCTTAGGTTACTTTGTGAAAAATATCTACAACATCAGCATTATCTTAACACATCAGCTTAGATTTTAAGAAGCAGGGATGCAACTTTTCCCATTTTTAGCGGAAATCAGACTTTTCTGTTTGAGCTGCAATTTTTCATTTTACTTCATTTGTCTATGACCTTTTTCAGCAATTTTTTATTTTTTAAAACTGTTATCAAATCAAGTATTACGCTTGGCCTACCAATACGAGATCTATTGCTTATTTCTTTGTTGTGCCTCCATTAAATAGGCCATCAACTAGAAACACTTCTTTTTAATTTGATGATTACTCTAGGTCTGACAGTATTAGATAAAGATTAAAATGAAAATAAAATAAATAAATAAAATAAAAAGTGATCTAAATGTCGTAGCTTTTCACTTGATGTTTTCTATTCTTAAAAGAATATTGTAATAAGCTTGGCACTATTAAAACTAGGCTTTACACACTCTCATTCTATCACTCAACTAGGGATGGGACAGACATTCTATCACTCAACTAGGGATGGGACAGACATTCTATCACTCAACTAGGGATGGGACAGACATTCTATCACTCAACTAGGGATTGGACAGACATTCTATCACTCAACTAGGGATGGGACAGACATTCTATCACTCAACTAGGGATGGGACAGGATTGGGATTTTCTCTTTCAGCTGCAATTTTCCTCCCCTATTTCATTTCTCCAGATTTTCCCGCCAATTTATATTTTTGCCCATTTTTGATGAAGTTTTACAAGTTTGTTATTTCCATTCCATTTGGTGAGTCAGTGGGTTTGTGCAGAAATATTTTTCTCCACTTGCAGACCTGGAAGTTCAGTAAAAAAAACACTTGTTAATGCTTCAAACTTTTTAATGCTTCAAACTTTTTAATGCTTTAAACTTTTTAATGCTTCGGTTGTTCATGCCATCTCTTACGTATTTTAGAGGCCAAAGCTTTTATAAAAGAAAGTTTGTTTAATTTCCTTATTTTCAGTGCCTTTAAAAGCTTATCATATAGGTTTTTATAATTGTTTTATTTTCTACTTGAAGTAATTCATTCGTAATGACACCACATAGGCTATGTCTAAAAATATTAGCTTGCAATCCCTAAACGGAAATTTTCTTAGTTCCTTCTTAGTCCACTGTTAACTCTGGAGCAATTGGTAGTATTTAATCCTGTTATCTCCCCTTTTTTTGTTGAATTTAGTAATTTAAAAAAAATGTTTAATGACTAACCTATTGCTAAATTAAAAATATATTTTTTTTACATTGTCTTTGTATCTGGAACAAAAAAAAAACAAATATTGTGAACTAAATAAAGGTTATAATAAACATTGTCTTTATATCTGGAACAAAAAAAAACAAATATTGTGAACTAAATAAAAGTTATAATAAACATTTACCCAAATTATTTAGTTTTTAGTTGTCTAAGTCAGTCAGTCTTGTGTCGTCCCCTCCCCCCCCCATCCCCCCCCCATCCCCCATATAAAATTATGTGGATGACAATATTATTAAAATGCAGATTTACTATAATCAATAGTAAAACAAATTTTCAGATGTATATAATCTGCTTGTTTGATAGGTTTTTACAAGCTTTTATTTAACTCACTTCCTCTGTCTGTCGTCAGTCTAGATCGAAACGCAGGAGTGAAAATTCGGACACTTCTAACTGACAGATACGGTTCCGTCAAGACATGAAGACAATGCATTGTGACATTAAATTTGACTTAATTGGATGCCTAATTAATTTTTTATGAATTAATTAAAATTTGGACCGAATTAGTAGGCAGTTCTATCCACATGCGTCATCACGACCGTGTTGGGCGTGGAGCGAGGGCGGCTCTACATCAAAAGCGCGTCATCACGTTCAATAGGTGCGCAATGGTTTTTAGTCGGGTCAGCAGTCTAGTTCTTTACCACTAGACTACGCCATCGCAAAATATTTTACTGAAACTTTAGCTATAAACTTGACAATGGTTTTTAGTCATGTAACTATTGTAAATAAATCATTTAAAGTACTGAAAAAATTTTTTTTATACAAAAACGTTTTAATAATGCACTAAAAAGTAGAAAATAAATTATACACTACTATTTAAATTACTATAAAGAAAAGCGTGGGTCACTTTAGTATCTATTGGATAACTTTACTAATATTTAGGAAGAGACCCACGCTTTTCTTTATAGTTATTTAAATAGTAGTGTATAATTTATTTTCTACTTTTTAGTGCATTATTACATAAAAGCTTGTTATTAAAACGTTTTTATGAATTTTAAAATATTTTTCTGCTTAGTATTAGTTGTCACAGTTTGTCTACATTTTGTCACAATTTTATTTATATTTATGTATTGTCACTATTTAATATTAATTAGTATATTGTCCTTATTTGTTATTGATTAATATTTTGTCACTTTTTATTGTTTTATATTTTGTTTTTCATAGTGAAGATGATTCAAGCCTTGGAGTGGTAAGTTTTTTTGTCTAGTCAGTTCTGGATGTAAGTTTCTTTGTCTAGTCAGTTCTGGATGTAAGTTTCTTTGTCTAGTCAGTTCTGGATGTAAGTTTCTTTGTCTAGTCAGTTTTGGATGTAAGTTTCTTTGTCTAGTCAGTTTTGGATGTAAGTTTCTTTGTCTAGTCAGTTTTGGATGTAAGTTTCTTTGTCTAGTCAGTTTTGGATGTAAGTTTCTTTGTCTAGTCAGTTTTGGATGTAAGTTTCTTTGTCTAGTCAGTTTTGGATGTAAGTTTCTTTGTCTAGTCAGTTTTGGATGTAAGTTTCTTTGTCTAGTCAGTTTTGGATGTAAGTTTCTTATTTGTGTTGTGTTTACTCGTAAGATAGCTCTAACTTCTCAACTATGTGTGTGTATATGTATATATTATATACACATATGTTTATACATATCTTTACACGGGTATGTTTTGTGTTTCCTGTCACTGTGATTTAACCCTACACACCAGGGAGACACAACATTTGTAAGGGTTTCATCAATGTGTTACCAATGTGTAGTTTTACAATTGTGATCTTGTTTAATGGAAATAGATCTTAGTTTGTAAGGGTTAGTCCCAAGCGTGCTATATAAACTTGAATGACCCTCTGTTATTGTAAGTTAGAACAACCCTCAGCGACCACCCAGTTAACAGGGGCGGGAGCTCACCAGATCCAGCAGTTCCAGTGGCACAGTGTGAGTCCCCTGGCTCTAGTGTGAGTCCCCTGGCTCTAGTGTGAGTCCCCTGGCACAGTGTGAGTCCCCTGGCTCTAGTGTGATTCCCCTGGCTCTAGTGTGAGTCCCCTGGCTCTAGTGTGAGTCCCCTGGCTCTAGTGTGAGTCCCCTGGCTCTAGTGTGAGTCCCCTGGCTCTAGTGTGAGTCCCCTGGCTCTAGTGTGAGTCCCCTGGCTCTAGTGTGAGTCCCCTGGCTCTAGTGTGAGTCCCCTGGCTCTAGTGTGAGTCCCCTGGCTCTAGTGTGAGTCCCCTGGCTCTAGTGTGAGTCCCCTGGCTCTAGTGTGAGTCCCCTGGCTCTAGTGTGAGTACCCTGGCTCTAGTGTGAGTCCCCTGGCTCTAGTGTGAGTCCCCTGGCTCTAGTGTGAGTCCCCTGGCTCTAGTGTGAGTCCCCTGGCTCTAGTGTGAGTCCCCTGGCTCTAGTTTGAGTCCCCTGGCTCTAGTGTGAGTCCCCTGGCTCTAGTCTGAGTACCCTGGCACAGTGTGAGTCCCCTGGCTCTAGTGTGAGTCCCCTTCTCTAGTGTGAGTCCCCTTCTCTAGTGTGAGTCCCCTGGCTCTAGTGTGAGTCCCCTGGCTCTAGTGTGAGTACCCTGGCACAGTGTGATTCCCCTGGCTCTAGTGTGAGTCCCCTGGCTCTAGTGTGAGTACCCTGGCACAGTGTGAGTCCCCTGGCTCTAGTGTGAGTCCCCTGGCTCTAGTGTGAGTCCCCTGGCTCTAGTGTGTCCCCTAAAGGTTGGAGCCTAGGGTCCTAAAGGCTGCTCTTCCTGGAGCCTAGGGTCCTAAAGGTTGGAGCCTAGGGTCCTAAAGGCTTCTCATCCTGTAGCCTAGGGTCCTAAAGGCTTCTCATCCTGTAGCCTAGGATCCTAAAGGCTTCTCATCCTGTAGCCTAGGGTTTTGAAAACATTGTAGATATTGATGATATCATATTGTTATGATTGAATTTGAAAACATTGTAGATATTGATGATATCATATTGTTATGATTGAATTACTTGATCAGGACAAGAACATCATGAACAACATGATTTCCCAAATGTACAGGAGAAATGATTGTGTAACAGAGGACAGCGCAGGTTTAAAGGTGTGTATGATTGTGTAACAGGACAGCAAAGTTGTATCCTACCTGACTCCACAAAGTTGTATCCTACCTGACTCCACAAAGTTGTATCCTACCTGACTCCATAAAGTTGTATCCTACCTGACTCCACAAAGTTGTATCCTACCTGACTCCACAAAGTTGTATCCTACCTGACTCCACAAAGTTGTATCCTACCTGACTCCACAAAGTTGTATCCTACCTGACTCCACAAAGTTGTATCTTACCTGACTCCACAAAGTTGTATCCTACCTGACTCCACAAAGTTGTATCCTACCTGACTCCACAAAGTTGTATCCTACCTGACTCCACAAAGTTGTATCCTACCTGACTCCATAAAGTTGTATCCTACCTGACTCCACAAAGTTGTATCCTACCTGACCTCCACAAAGTTGTATCCTACCTGACAGCAGCCAACTTTTCTCCACTGAACAAGACAGACTCCACTTTTCCAGATTCCACTTTTCCAGACACCACCATACAAAGAATGATTTTGCCCATCATTCTATTACAAGTATTACCACTACATTATATCTTGTCAAGACCACTACATTATATTTTGTCTAGACCACTACATTATATTTTGTCTAGACCACTACATTATATTATGTCTAGACCACTACATTATATTTTGTCAAGACCACTACATTATATTTTCTCTAGACCACTACATTATATTTTGTCAAGACCACCACATTATATTTTGTCTAGACCAGGGGTCTCCAAACTACGGCCCGCGGGCCGCATCCGGCCCGCGAGGTCCTCTCATCCGGCCCGCGGAGATCTTTTTGTCCACGGAAAAGATTTCTGTTGGAGGTGGCTGAGGAACTTTGCCAAGAAAATTCAAAACAATTTGAAAATGTAGCCAACTTGAGGAAATTCCTAGAAGGAACTCTGGCCCCCGAACTGATATTTTCTAGTTAATGCGGCCCTCGGGCTGAAAAGTTTGGAGACCCCTGGTCTAGACCACAACATTATATTTTGTCTAGACCACTACATTATATTTTGTCTAGACCACTACATTATATTTTGTCTAGACCACTACATTATATTTTGTCTAGACCACCACATTATATTTTGTCTAGACCACTACATTATATTTTGTCTAGACCACCACATTATATTTTGTCTAGACCACCACATTATATTTTGTCTAGACCACTACATTATATTTTGTCTAGACCACTACATTATATTTTGTCAAGACCACTACATTATATTTTGTCTAGACCACCACATTATATTTTGTCTAGACCACTACATTATATTTTGTTAAGACCACTACATTATATTTTGTCAAGACCACTACATTATATTTTGTCAAGACCACCACATTATATTTTGTCTAGACCACTACATTATATTTGTCTAGACCACCACATTATATTTTGTCTAGACCACTACATTATATTTTGTCTAGACCACCACATTATATTTTGTCTAGACCACCACATTATATTTTGTCTAGACCACTACATTATATTTTGTCTAGACCACTACATTATATTTTGTTAAGACCACTACATTATATTTTGTCTAGACCACTACATTATATTTTGTCTAGACCACCACATTATATTTTGTCTAGACCACCACATTATATTTTGTCTAGACCACCACATTATATTTTGTCTAGACCACTACATTATATTTTGTCTAGACCACCACATTATATTTTGTCTAGACCACCACATTATATTTTGTCTAGACCACTACATTATATTTTGTCTAGACCACCACATTATATTTTGTCTAGACCACTACATTATATTTTGTCTAGACCACCACATTATATTTTGTCTAGACCACCACATTATATTTTGTCTAGACCACTACATTATATTTTCTCTAGACCACTACATTATATTTTGTCAAGACCACCACATTATATTTTGTCTAGACCACTACATTATATTTTGTCTAGACCACTACATTATATTTTGTCTAGACCACTACATTATATTTTGTCTAGACCACTACATTATATTTTGTCTAGACCACTACATTATATTTTGTCTAGACCACTACATTATATTTTGTCTAGATATTACGCCTCCCTTATTCTTTAAAAAAGTTTTATTCTTTAACAGGTTGGTGGAACTAGTCAAAATATACTGTTAGAGATTTCACAAGCTGACAGGAATGCTCCACCCCCAACACAAGCTGACAGGAATGCTCCACCCCCAACACAAGCTGACAGGAATGCTCCACCCCCAACACAAGCTGACAGGAATGCTCCACCCCTAACACAAGCTGACAGGAATGCTCCACCCCCAACACAAGCTGACAGGAATGCTCCACCGCGAAAGAGAAAAAGACTGCCACAAGCGCTAGAGGAAAGGAAAATCCGTAATTAATTAAAATTTTCATTTTCCCTTTAGTGTAATGTATATATTGCTATGTTGGCAGGTCAATTAATCCATCCTGTGTAATGTATATATTGCTATGTTGGCAGGTCAATTAGTCCATCCTGTGTAATGTATATATTGCTATGTTGGCAGGTCAATTAGTCCATCCTGTGTAACGTATATATTGCTATGTTGGCAGGTCAATTAGTCCATCCTGTGTAACGTATATATTGCTATGTTGGCAGGTCAATTAATCCATCCTGTGTAATGTATATATTGCTATGTTGGCAGGTCAATTAGTCCATCCTGTGTAACGTATATATTGCTATGTTGGCAGGTCAATTAGTCCATCCTGTGTAATGTATATATTGCTATGTTGGCAGGTCAATTAGTCCATCCTGTGTAATGTATATATTGCTATGTTGGCAGGTCAATTAATCCATCCTGTGTAATGTATATATTGCTATGTTGGCAGGTCAATTAGTCCATCCTGTGTAATGTATATATTGCTATGTTGGCAGGTCAATTAGTCCATCCTGTGTAATGTATATATTGCTATGTTGGCAGGTCAATTAGTCCATCCTGTGTAATGTATATATTGCTATGTTGGCAGGTCAATTAGTCCATCCTGTGTAATGTATATATTGCTATGTTGGCAGGTCAATTAATCCATCCTGTGTAATGTATATATTGCTGGCAGGTCAATTAGTCCATCCTGTGTAACGTATATATTGCTATGTTGGCAGGTCAATTAGTCCATCCTGTGTAATGTATATATTGCTATGTTGGCAGGTCAATTAGTCCATCCTGTGTGGCAGGTCAATTAGTCCATCCTGTGTAATGTATATATTGCTATGTTGGCAGGTCAATTAGTCCATCCTGTGTAATGTATATATTGCTATGTTGGCAGGTCAATTAGTCCATCCTGTGTAACGTATATATTGCTATGTTGGCAGGTCAATTAGTCCATCCTGTGTAACGTATATATTGCTATGTTGGCAGGTCAATTAGTCCATCCTGTGTAACGTATATATTGCTATGTTGGCAGGTCAATTAGTCCATCCTGTGTAACGTATATATTGCTATGTTGGCAGGTCAATTAGTCCATCCTGTGTGGCAGGTCAATTAGTCCATCCTGTGTGGCAGGTCAATTAGTCCATCCTGTGTAATGTATATATTGCTATGTTGGCAGGTCAATTAGTCCATCCTGTGTAATGTATATATTGCTATGTTGGCAGGTCAATTAGTCCATCCTGTGTAATGTATATATTGCTATGTTGGCAGGTCAATTAGTCCATCCTGTGTGGCAGGTCAATTAGTCCATCCTGTGTAACGTATATATTGCTATGTTGGCAGGTCAATTAGTCCATCCTGTGTAACGTATATATTGCTATGTTGGCAGGTCAATTAGTCCATCCTGTGTAATGTATATATTGCTATGTTGGCAGGTCAATTAGTCCATCCTGTGTAACGTATATATTGCTATGTTGGCAGGTCAATTAGTCCATCCTGTGTAATGTATATATTGCTATGTTGGCAGGTCAATTAGTCCATCCTGTGTAATGTATATATTGCTATGTTGGCAGGTCAATTAGTCCATCCTGTGTGGCAGGTCAATTAGTCCATCCTGTGTAACGTATATATTGCTATGTTGGCAGGTCAATTAGTCCATCCTGTGTAATGTATATATTGCTATGTTGGCAGGTCAATTAGTCCATCCTGTGTAATGTATATATTGCTATGTTGGCAGGTCAATTAGTCCATCCTGTGTAATGTATATATTGCTATGTTGGCAGGTCAATTAGTCCATCCTGTGTAATGTATATATTGCTATGTTGGCAGGTCAATTAGTCCATCCTGTGTAACGTATATATTGCTATGTTTGCAGGTCAATTAGTCCATCATGTGTAACGTATATATTGCTATGTTGGCAGGTCAATTAGTCCATCCTGTGTAATGTATATATTGCTATGTTGGCAGGTCAATTAGTCCATCCTGTGTAACGTATATATTGCTATGTTGGCAGGTCAATTAGTCCATCCTGTGTAATGTATATATTGCTATGTTGGCAGGTCAATTAGTCCATCCTGTGTAATGTATATATTGCTATGTTGGCAGGTCAATTAGTCCATCCTGTGTGGCAGGTCAATTAGTCCATCCTGTGTGGCAGGTCAATTAGTCCATCCTGTGTGGCAGGTCAATTAGTCCATCCTGTGTAACGTATATATTGCTATGTTGGCAGGTCAATTAGTCCATCCTGTGTAATGTATATATTGCTATGTTGGCAGGTCAATTAGTCCATCCTGTGTAATGTATATATTGCTATGTTGGCAGGTCAATTAGTCCATCCTGTGTAATGTATATATTGCTATGTTGGCAGGTCAATTAGTCCATCCTGTGTAACGTATATATTGCTATGTTGGCAGGTCAATTAGTCCATCCTGTGTAATGTATATATTGCTATGTTGGCAGGTCAATTAGTCCATCCTGTGTAATGTATATATTGCTATGTTGGCAGGTCAATTAGTCCATCCTGTGTGGCAGGTCAATTAGTCCATCCTGTGTGGCAGGTCAATTAGTCCATCCTGTGTGGCAGGTCAATTAGTCCATCCTGTGTGGCAGGTCAATTAGTCCATCCTGTGTAATGTATATATTGCTATGTTGGCAGGTCAATTAGTCCATCCTGTGTAATGTATATATTGCTATGTTGGCAGGTCAATTAGTCCATCCTGTGTAATGTATATATTGCTATGTTGGCAGGTCAATTAGTCCATCCTGTGTAATGTATATATTGCTATGTTGGCAGGTCAATTAGTCCATCCTGTGTAATGTATATATTGCTATGTTGGCAGGTCAATTAGTCCATCCTGTGTAACGTATATATTGCTATGTTGGCAGGTCAATTAGTCCATCCTGTGTAACGTATATATTGCTATGTTGGCAGGTCAATTAGTCCATCCTGTGTAACGTATATATTGCTATGTTGGCAGGTCAATTAGTCCATCCTGTGTAACGTATATATTGCTATGTTTGCAGGTCAATTAGTCCATCCTGTGTAATGTATATATTGCTATGTTGGCAGGTCAATTAGTCCATCCTGTGTAATGTATATATTGCTATGTTGGCAGGTCAATTAGTCCATCCTGTGTAACGTATATATTGCTATGTTGGCAGGTCAATTAGTCCATCCTGTGTGGCAGGTCAATTAGTCCATCCTGTGTAACGTATATATTGCTATGTTGGCAGGTCAATTAGTCCATCCTGTGTAACGTATATATTGCTATGTTGGCAGGTCAATTAGTCCATCCTGTGTGGCAGGTCAATTAGTCCATCCTGTGTGGCAGGTCAATTAGTCCATCCTGTGTGGCAGGTCAATTAGTCCATCCTGTGTGGCAGGTCAATTAGTCCATCCTGTGTGGCAGGTCAATTAGTCCATCCTGTGTAATGTATATATTGCTATGTTGGCAGGTCAATTAGTCCATCCTGTGTGGCAGGTCAATTAGTCCATCCTGTGTGGCAGGTCAATTAGTCCATCCTGTGTAATGAATATATTGCTATGTTGGCAGGTCAATTAGTCCATCCTGTGTAACGTATATATTGCTATGTTGGCAGGTCAATTAGTCCATCCTGTGTAATGTATATATTGCTATGTTGGCAGGTCAATTAGTCCATCCTGTGTAACGTATATATTGCTATGTTGGCAGGTCAATTAGTCCATCCTGTGTAATGTATATATTGCTATGTTGGCAGGTCAATTAGTCCATCCTGTGTAATGTATATATTGCTATGTTGGCAGGTCAATTAGTCCATCCTGTGTAATGTATATATTGCTATGTTGGCAGGTCAATTAGTCCATCCTGTGTAACGTATATATTGCTATGTTGGCAGGTCAATTAGTCCATCCTGTGTAATGTATATATTGCTATGTTGGCAGGTCAATTAGTCCATCCTGTGTAATGTATATATTGCTATGTTGGCAGGTCAATTAGTCCATCCTGTGTAACGTATATATTGCTATGTTGGCAGGTCAATTAGTCCATCCTGTGTAATGTATATATTGCTATGTTGGCAGGTCAATTAGTCCATCCTGTGTAATGTATATATTGCTATGTTGGCAGGTCAATTAGTCCATCCTGTGTAATGTATATATTGCTATGTTGGCAGGTCAATTAGTCCATCCTGTGTGGCAGGTCAATTAGTCCATCCTGTGTAACGTATATATTGCTATGTTGGCAGGTCAATTAGTCCATCCTGTGTAACGTATATATTGCTATGTTGGCAGGTCAATTAGTCCATCCTGTGTAATGTATATATTGCTATGTTGGCAGGTCAATTAGTCCATCCTGTGTAATGTATATATTGCTATGTTGGCAGGTCAATTAGTCCATCCTGTGTAACGTATATATTGCTATGTTGGCAGGTCAATTAGTCCATCCTGTGTAACGTATATATTGCTATGTTGGCAGGTCAATTAGTCCATCCTGTGTAATGTATATATTGCTATGTTGGCAGGTCAATTAGTCCATCCTGTGTAATGTATATATTGCTATGTTGGCAGGTCAATTAGTCCATCCTGTGTAACGTATATATTGCTATGTTGGCAGGTCAATTAGTCCATCCTGTGTAACGTATATATTGCTATGTTGGCAGGTCAATTAGTCCATCCTGTGTAACGTATATATTGCTATGTTGGCAGGTCAATTAGTCCATCCTGTGTGGCAGGTCAATTAGTCCATCCTGTGTAACGTATATATTGCTATGTTGGCAGGTCAATTAGTCCATCCTGTGTAATGTATATATTGCTATGTTGGCAGGTCAATTAGTCCATCCTGTGTAATGTATATATTGCTATGTTGGCAGGTCAATTAGTCCATCCTGTGTAATGTATATATTGCTATGTTGGCAGGTCAATTAGTCCATCCTGTGTAATGTATATATTGCTATGTTGGCAGGTCAATTAGTCCATCCTGTGTAATGTATATATTGCTATGTTGGCAGGTC